AGACGGGTTGAGTGGAAAGCGCTGCTCTGCAGCCTCGTATCAAATAAAACACTGTTTCAACATCAGAAGCTTCATCTTCTCGATGATGCTCAAATATGTGGCCTGAGATTTTCCCCTGTCATCTTTTCCTGTTGGGACCCCTGAGGTCATCTTGTATCCTGTGGGTGGTTCTGGTTCGTCTGTTGGTTCTGTGAGTGGCTGCTTGGTGTAATCAGGAGCACATGGTGGCACCCGGTGTGTTCCTGGGTTCCTTCAGGGCTGACTGCAGTCTGATAACTCTGCGGGCGACACAACGGTCTGGTTCTGGGTCGGTTTCTTCATCTAGGATGTTTGCATTTACAACGCTTGCACAGACATAATTCATGCAGACACACACACCACTGACTCTGTGGATTCTCACAACCCCGTACTGGTTTGGCTTTAATTTGGTTTCATTTAAGTGAATAAAGTCAAGCTTTAACTTTTGAAACTTGGTCTGTTTCTCCTTTTGAGCCAGGTCATAACATGCATGAAAAGAGGTACTGAAAAAGTTCTAAATATTAAAAGTTTTACTCAAGGGCGTCCCTACAGCTCACCTAGCTGAGCGGGCGACCCATGAACAGGGGCTGTAGCTCCCCGATGCAGCGGTCGTGGGTTCGTTGGTGGTCTTCAGACAGCTATCTCGGGGGCACTCTGTGAAGCCACCTGCAGCAGGAAACACCACAAAACTCCACAGACTCGCTGGCTTGGTGTTAAACACACCTACAGCAGAACCACATGAAGACTAGGCGTGAGTTTCTAGTAGGTTTTGGTCAGACAGTCAGGGGGAAACATCATTTGTCTGATTAACACTTGACTATCTGTGATGGCACATTTGAGAATATGGTTTCTTTGTCTTTTTTAATGCACCTGTTATGACCTTTTGAGCCAGGTCATAACATGCATGAAAAGAGGTGCTGATAAAGTTCTAAATATTAAAAGTTTTGCTCAAGGGCGTCCCTATAACTCACCTAGCTGAGCGGGCGACCCATGAACAGGGGCTGTAGCTCCCCGATGCAGCGGTCGTGGGTTCGACTCCCGCTCTCGACCCTTTGCTGGAGGTCTCTCTTCATTCTTCTCTCCCCTTTCCTGTCTCTCACTGCTGCCCTAAAATAAAACTGTACTCATGCGTTGCCCTCTGTGACTTCAGCTTTAATGTTGTAAAAGCAGAAATCAACACTTTAACAGCCTGGTACTAAAACATGTTTGATTTTAAAGCTAATTTGTACTTTCATGACAGCTTCCATGTTTCGCTTTCACTTATCGGTTTAAACTGTATTCATCTCTAGCAAGACGCAGACATGTGGAGTCACCACACGGAGCTGTTCAGCAAACTGTGTTCCTCCATCTTCATGCACAGCTGATGCACTCCACCCATGTGGGAACAAACTAGACAATCAAAATGGGGAACCTGGTTTTGATTAGTAGGATGTGAGATAAGAGATTAAAAACCGTGTGCTCGCCCGGGGTGACGAGAAGCCAAACCACCGTTCAGTCAGAAGTGAGACTTATTTATTCTTGTGTTTATTGTGCTGGAGGGTTCATGTTTACAGAACTGAGAGCTGAAACACTGGAATGGTTTCGTTAAAAAACACTTTCAGAAAGCGTTCCATTGTACTGATGCACACGATACCGGCGGCAAATGAAAGTGTGTTTTTGTTTTAGTCAAATCTGTGTGAGCACGAGATAAGAACAGGAAGTGAAAGTGGGCCAGTGTTGGTGGAAAGCACCAGTGAGGCTGGCAGAACAGAAAGCTCTCCACGTCGTCAGATGTAAACCCTGCTGGTGATTCCTCCTCAGGGCACCAGGCGGTCCGGCTGGCCGGCGGTCCGGGCCGCTGTGCCGGCCGGGTGGAGGTGTGGAGGGACGGCCGCTGGGGGACGGTGTGTGACGACGGCTGGGACCTGAAGGCCGCCGGCGTGGTTTGTGCTCAGCTCGGCTGTGGCTTCGCCCTCAACGTGTCGGGTCAGGGAGGCTCCTTCCCCCCCGGCACCGGACCGGTTCACCTGGACGAGCTCAACTGTACGGGCCGAGAGCAGAACCTGTGGAGCTGCCCGGCCGCTCAGGACGAGTCTGACTGTGGACACAAGGAGGACGCTGGAGTCGTCTGCTCAGGTTCAATCCACTAAACGTGACATAAACACACAGAGAAAGCAGAAAGTGAAAGGACGACTTGAGTCCACTGACCTGCTTTGTGCAGCTGTTAAAAGCTCCAGGACGAAGTTAGTAAATAAAAATATTAAATTATTATATGTGGTGTAAAAAAAAGCTGGCACTAAGTATGGATCTGTAATAAGTGTCACATGTGAACTTTCCACTGATGTTAAAATTCCTCTCAAGGACCTTATTGTCCTCAGTTGTGGTTTCATCAGAATTAGCTGCACTGAAAGTTTACTGGACTGTCTTAACAGACCCTGAAGCCAAAGGAGTCAGAGGCCACTTTTCTTATCCTAGAATTATTACACATGTCCCAGTAGGAGGCACAACACAGCAGCAAGACGCAGAGGAGCCATAAATAAGGCGACATCGATAAAGACATGTAGAATACCAGAAAGAGACAAAAGGACCAAAGTTTGACACAAAATGACCCCAAAGACACACAGAGCAGCTCCAGGAAGGTACAAAACGATCAAAGCGAGACACAAAACAATAAATATGAGACTATAAATGTCTCAAATGTGGCATAAAAGCTATGAAAAACCAAAATGACTCATGACCAGAAGTTGACTCAGACGAACCCAAATGTAGCATAAAATGACGTGAAGTGACCACAGAGATGGAAAGAGATCGAAATGCTTCACAAAATGACGATAAAGCAACAACAACCAACCACGAAGAGATGCAAAATACGCACCAACAGACACAAAATGGCGACAAAGATGCATAGAGGAGCTCTAAAGAGATGCAAAATGGTGAAAATGAGACACGAAACAACAATAATGAGACACCAAATGACCACAAATGGACAGAATTAGGACAAAGACTCACAAAAAAAAACAGCCAGGGATGCAAAATGACCTAAAAGAGACCCAAAAATGACTACAAATATAAATGGCTTCAGAGAGATGCCTTTAAAAAAAGGTACAAAGTGATCAAAATGAAAATATAAAAAATATCTCAAATGTTTGACAAAAGACAAGTGATCATAAACGGGTACAAACTGACCACAAAGGGACGTAGAATTGGGAATAAGAGAAAAATGATGCATGTAATACACATAGAATAATCCAAATTAAATGCAAACAGTTACATAGAGAGGCAAAGCTTTCAAAAGGAGCCTTAAAAAAAACAAAAACAGGGACAAAAACAAGCATAACGAGACACTGAATGGCCACACAGAGACATACCATGGCACTAAAGAGATAAAAATGAGGTACAAAACCGATATAAAAAGATAAAAATGTCCCACTAGGTGGCACAGGATGGAAAGAAAGAGATGCAGATTAATCACAGTGAGCCATAAAATGACCATATTGTTAAAAACCAAACACAAAGAGATGCAGAATGATAACAACCGCCCAGCAGATGCTCAGCTGGAGACACAAAACGGTTTCCAGTGCTGATCCATCCCCGGACTAATTCACTCAGACTGTTGTTGTGCTGGTACCGTCTCAGTGTGTGGTTTCCTGTGCAGAGATGCGAGCCGTCAGACTGAGCGGCGGTTTGGACCGGTGCTCCGGTAAAGTGGAGATCCACCGGAACGGCAGCTGGGGAACCGTCTGCGATAACTGCTGGAACAAACGTATGGCCACCATGGTGTGCTCCATGCTGGGCTGTGGACCCCAGCCGATCCAGTACTCCCGGTTTGTTCCTGCTCTGACCCACAACGATGGCACCAAGTGGTTCTACCAGTGCTGGTCCTTTGAGAGCCTGTGGCAGTGCAGAGAGCGCGCCAACAAGAGTCACCTGTGTGCCACCTCCAAGGCCTCCGGCGTCGTCTGCGACGGTGAGAGCTGCTGTTTGTGAAGCGAGTT